GCTTTAAGATAATAATATAATTATAAATGTATAATGTACCTAATACCTATATTATATTATAATATAGTTAATGGAAGTGCGTATATATAGTGCGTATACTACCGTCGCGACGAGGGGCTTCTTATTCAAAAATTTGCACGTCTCCGCTTACCTCCTATAGTCATATCTACCGTGGTAACCGTGGTAACGCAGTCGCCGACCTGTTCCCCGGTCGTCGCGCCACACATAAAGTTCATCAACCCTTTTCCGTGTCACGTGCATTCTGTTTCGGTTTAACGCCACCGGGCGCCGCTACCGCCGACGGTGATTCGCGTGTATGTATGTATGTATACATAGTGTTTTATACTTTTATACATACGCACACGCTGTATACATAAACACACATATATCCATGTGTATATAAATTGTATATACGCACACAACAGGCTATCGCTGTATGGCCTCCACCGCCACCCCCTCGCACGTCTTGCAGTGCGTGTGTACGACCCGGTGCTTGTGAACTTTGAGAAAAGTACACTGACCTCGATATGATTTTTTATTAAATATTTTGGTATTATTAAGTTGGACGGGTTTTTTTTATTATTATTTTTAGTTGTTTTTTTTTTCTTGCAAGCCCCCGTGTACGGCACATCTAGTGTAGTACTGTTCGTGTGGTATTTTTATTTTACTCACGTCGCCCCCGGCAATGCTAATTATAATTTTTTTTTCCATCACGAATTTTTTTTGTTGCAAATTTATTATAGTATAATATCTTATCGAGCTGCATTACTGTTGGCATGTAATGTATACATATAGGTACATAATAATAGTATCAAGCCACGAAATTTACGTTTTCGGGTCAACATCGCGTGTAATCTGTGTTTGTGTATACACATATAATACATTTTAATTTACCCGTAGATAACACATTACGATTTAATAATCTAACTAGAGTTTAAAAAATGGCTATAAAGAAATAAAAATAACAACGATATTTTGTTTGCACAGTTTGCCAATCTCGTTTTATAGACTATAGCCGGCCTGCAGTGTGCGTGTGTTTGCAGACTCTATCACTGTACAGAGTGATGTAACTCAAGTATAGGTACCATATTTTAAGGCTGTCGGTATAATAAAAATAATAATAATATGATACCCGTTTCATTGCGCATAGGGCCTAACCCGTGCGCGCTGTATAAATCAACAACAATATGCGTAAACACTCGTTTTGCTCTTCTGTTATTATCGGTCGGGTAAAGTCCGCGGCGTGGCAGCACCTTCGCGTCAGGCCTCCCTCGAATATTATTCACTACGCGGTAGTACACGTGGGGTGCGAATTATTTTTGAAAGGAAATCCGCGAATGAAGTACCCAAAGGGTCGTGTACACAGGGATGGTGAGCTTATAGCGATGGGGTGGGTGAAACGGGCACGGTGTATGTATACACAAATATAAATATATGTGGGTGTGTGTATATACCGAGTGCGCGTGTGGTGTATACATGACGTCAACCGCTGCTCTGCCGCCCGTGGCGGCGTTCAGCAAACCCTTCGGGACGATCGTTTCTGCCCCCTCCGTGGCGTAACCCTGGAACGCCTGTGAAGGACATTGACCCTGCCGCCGAGCGCGCCCGGCACGCCGCCGCCTCGGTGGTCCCCGCGCGCCATCACAATACACATGCAGAACGTTTCGGGACGCACCGCGGGCGCGACGTGCTTTTATTTATCTATTTACATGTATACTGTTTATATACGATACTAATAATAACAATTATTAATAACAGTGTATATGCAAACGAAATAGCGATTGATAGCAATATTTAATATACAAAATTATCATAATAATATGTGAAGGTGTTTAACGCTTGAATGTGCCATAATACATCGTCATTCGTCTACAACATACATTTACTTTAAGTATACCTATCTAAAATTTAAATAAAGTTTCTCGCATTCTTCTCGATGATTAGTCAAAACGAAGTCGATACCACAGACGACGTAACGTTGAAGCAAGGTAAGGGAGTAAAAAAACAAAAACAACAACTTATAATGACAATAATTTTTTTTCAATACCCACATAGGGACGGTGGGTGAAAATTAATTATAAATAATATTTGTTATTTCAGAGTGTTTTTTGAGTTTCTAAATTCGTTTTTATTCTTCTATTTGTTACGTTTATATTATTAGAGTGCGAGTGCGCTCACTGTTATTGTATGAGTATATGATATACATAATAAGCGTTAAGTGTGTATGTGTGTGTGTGTGTGTGTGTTCGTGTGCGCGCGCGTGTGTACGTTTGAACGTTACGAACGACCGCGACGGCGAATTGTACCGTGTAAATAGTGCGTGTGTGTGTAAGCGCGCGCGAAAATGGGCCGGCGGGCACATGCGCAACAGTATTGAGCGACCAGACACAGACTCACTCAAGGCCGCGTTGACCCACAATCGGGCGCTCGGTCAACGACCGATCCTTGGGCCGTTTCCCGCTGCACCGCCCTCTCAGGACGCAACCCGCCCCACCACCATCAGTGGTTGAAAAAAAAAGTCGCTTCATTTTGATGTGCTGAAGTCCTAGCGCGAAATTTTTGTTTTTTTTTAAGCCAACCGCCGCCGCCCTGTTCACCGATCAATTTTTATACCTTGTTTTCGGTTTTGAGTTAATCCCCGACATAATTCCATAAATATGTAATACAAGGGCGAACGATGTATAGTAATAAATAATAATTTAATAATAACGATACACCGTTAATTGAATTTTACATATTATGCGTTTACAGTGTATATAGTTACACTTTATTATTCACTGGTTTCAGTGTACACATATATTTATTATAATATTATATTGTGAATTATTATTATTATTATTATTATTATTATTATTATTATTATTATTGTGCGTGCGCTCGCGTATTGTCTGACGGTAGCGGCGTATAACTGGGCTGCGGGCCAATTAAAATATAATATATAATGCTTTTGCGCGCGCGCCTCTTGCATACTCGTGGTACGAGCGGCGAATTGAGCGTTTGAGCGTTTGAGCGAGCGGTGTGCGCCGCTTGAGAGTTGCTTGACCCGAGCGCCCGGCCGCCGGGATCAGTTCAACGGCCCAGAACTGGGTCATGACTGTAACCGTGTCGCTACTTACGTAACGGCCTCAACGGCGGCGACGGCGTGCAGTAATATTAGCGGAGCACGCGTTTCGCTCTCCCGCCGTATTATTGGCGGCGCTCTGGTTTTATTTTTTTATCCAACCTGTACTTAAGCCTCTTCTTGCTACTGGACGTGAGTCAACATACTGTTTAAGTGATGATAATAATAATATTTAATTATTATTTTACGTCATTGAGGAGGGGGGGGTAGTCCTTCAAATAAATAATTTGTTTTATATCTAAATTAAGTTTCCATCATGTATCGAAAAATATTTTTTCGAGAATTTGTATAAGTGTAATGGTTTTTTTCGTTTTTGATCATATCGTCGTCGAATTTTTTTTTTAGCCCACTATTTTAAGATCTATATTAATATTAAATACACTTACGCGGTTGAGTGATGGTACGCTTGGTACGCTATGTGTTGTTATGAATCTGAGGCAAAAACATCATTGTATAACAATAAACAAACCGGCCAATTTATTAACGGACGGTCTGGTAGGGGGGTTTGCGGTGTGATTGTGGAGGGGAGTTCGCTGGAATTCTAGGACTAGTGTTGGCCAATGCGCAGTAGAAAAAAACGGCAACGGTCGGCGCGAGGGGACCGGAGAAAGTGCAACGGCCTCTCCTCGCGTAACACAATGCTAATAGGTTACGGCAATCTCAGGTTATCGAACCGCTACCACCGTCGTATGTGTAATTTTATTTATATATTATTACCATTATTATTATTATTTTTTCATAATAATAATAATGTGACATACATTTCATCAGGCGTTCGAAGGACAACCCCTAAAGATTTTCGGTCACATCGAATACTACACCAGCTAGTTTCGCCGCCGCGAGTTTTTAGGTCCGTTACGTGTGTATTATGTTATAGTGTTTTGTATTATTCGCCAAACGCAATTATAATATATAATACAATAATTAATATTATAATGGGTCAACGGCATTGTATAGGCACACACACACTGCACGCATATACTACACGCGACACGCCAGTCATCACTACAAACAATATAATGTACCTAATGTAGTATATTATAATGTTCCGCATTTGTGAATTCATTTGGCACTGCAATCGTCATCGTCGCTACCGGACGTTAACCCGGACAACGACCCGTTTTCTGAAAAAGAAAATACGCATATATTATCCCCAACTCGGACGGATATTGGACATTCGTGTTATTTTAATAGGTACTATACATTAAATATATGCGGGATGTCAAATTAAGATTTATTATATTATTAAGTATGTGATAGTTTGTGTGTTATACATGACGCACAAAGACTTAAACGCCCAGCGATCGCAGCAACGGCGAAATATCCTCCGACCTTCGGGCCACCGGGTATCTAAGTCAAGGTCGATGAACCTGTGCACCGCCCGTTCGAACGCCGTGGGCGTGAACGGCCCCATCTGCCGTCACCAATCGGAGCGCGGCGGTGGTGGTAGCATCCCTCGCGCACCTCGGCACTTTGCCACCCTTCGGTCATCGAAACACCCTCAGTGTTTGATCGTGTGGTGTGCGACGACGACGGGCCAGCGATTTCCGGACTAATATTATTCAGACGTCCGCGCTTTTATTATATACACAAAATAATCGATTATTATTATATATTGGTTGCGCGATGCCGGTCACGATGATAATCCGACGGGATTCGAATGAAATTTCCGGTTAGATCAGCATTTTTATTGTATAATTACCTAATGTTTATACGATAAATAATTTAGCTATGATGATTTTTATTTAATTTATATAGAGCTGTCTGGCAATAAATTACTGCCCAGCGATTACAAATAATATTACCACATAATAATTATATTAAAATATATTATAAATACAGCAAAGTTAAAATTTTTGTTTTTTTTTTATTGTTTCAGAATTTGATGGTGACACAGTACTGTGCCGAGTATGCGGTGACAGGGCGTCCGGGTTCCATTACGGCGTACACTCTTGTGAGGGATGCAAAGTGAGTACACATTTATGCGTAAAACGTTACATATTAAATATAGTCATACATTTACACATAATATATACTTAACCGAAGTGCGCATAACACGTTGCGTGTATTATGTTTTATATTTTTGAACGTGCGAGTATAAATATACATAAACAATAATAATAAACACACACACACAAATACAATAGGTGGATAGGTTTTTTTGAATTCGAAGGTTCGCAAAACCTGAGGGAAAAGTATATATTATATATAATATATATTATATATAAGAAGTAGAAAAATACTCCTCGTTTACGCACATAATATATAGTCTTAGGACAGGAAGAGGAGGACGTGACGTAACGGATAGCGCCTGCCGCCGCGTCTTTGACGTCAGCGAAAGTCCTCACTCGGACCGGTCCACTTTCTTCTTCACTTTCTTCCAGCGCGACCGCCTCCATTGCGGTAGCGGCGTCGGCGTTCACCGTTATAATACCTATATAATATATGTGCTTCGCGGTGCAACAAACCTGCAGTTATATAAAATATATATTATAATAATACAAATAAAATATAGAAACCACTCGTTTCCGCCTATAATATTTTTTATGTATTTAAATATAATATACATAATTGTATTATGATATATGCCGTGACTTCCTGGCCGAGAAAAATTATTTAATTTTGTCGAAAATTTAAATTACTACAATCCAGTAAAGCCTGCGGGTCTCTGGGTCTCTGGTTCCGTTGCAAACTCCTAGTCCAAAAAAAAAACAACAATATAATATACGAAACCAATAATAAAACAATATAATTATTGCACACCATGCGCGCCACGGTTTTATCTCGTCAGCGGCTTTTTGTTACGCGCTTGGCGACCCATTGTTTTTTGTTCGCATTTCTCATGTGCTCACACATTCATCTGTACATTATATGGTATATACATTAAACACGTGTATATACGTCTTCTCCAAGACCTATACCTACTATTTTGTACCGTTATCCAAGCGGCGCCGCACGCGGTGGCATTTTCGAAGGACACGTTGTCGTTACATTATCGCCCTGTCGCGTCGCTCGTACATTACCGGGTCGGGAACAAAAAAATAAGGGTTGACGTGTACATAAAAATGCGCGCGTACCGCAAACGGCGGGCGGTCGGTTCAGGGCTACTATATTATCATGGTATAAACCACGAGTGCTTAGAATACGTCTGTTCGTATATATTATAATATTATTATAATATGTATTATAATATCACAACTACTTGTTGACGCTGACCTCGTCGGAGGTCCGAGGGTTGTTGCAGTGAATCCCGTTAGCCTTTTTTATTCTTTTTCGTGTAGGTATATATATGTATATAATATTATGTAACGCACATACGTTGTTGTTGTTTAGGTTTTTGTGTTCCGTCCTATAACTGTAAAAATTTGAGTATAGAGATTTATCGTACACCGTAGCCGGACGACTGTGGATTTTATAACCTCCTCCTCTTCGTAGTCAAGTACGGTCCGTTTTTATTATCTACCATATTTTGTTCACTTATAGCATTACTCATCATATAAGTATTAATATCATAATATGCGATGTACGCACTTGTTTATCGACGACGTTCTCTCTCGTGATTTGGAAATCCCCGGGAGTTATGACCCGGCCACCACCGCCGACGAGTGCGTTGACACCGCTCAGCGCGCCGTCGCCGCCGCAACCAGGGCGGACCGGGTATTCGTGATGAAATTAGGCCGATATGACGTCATAGGCCAATGACTTTTCGCCAGGCCAACAAACCGCATACACTCGCACGTTTTATATTATAATATATTATATTACAAATGTGTTGTATGTATGTGCGTATGGTGTTCTATTTGCATATTTATCAAAACGGATCTGTGTTAAATGTTTGCAAAATCCATTTTGTCGTCCTATAAATCGTCGATAACGACGATGGCTATTTTTTATCTCAAAAATCTCTCCTAAACTGTTCTAGCCTATTATTTTCTGATAATCCGATGGTTGGGCGGTTTATTATTTAATTTTTACTATTTTGGTTTTAGGTCAATCGTCAATTAAATTGTAAAAAAAAAATAAAACGACTTGCTCGTCGTCATTCCCCACGCAACATAAAAAAAGTTATAATATACATGTGCACATATACACATACCTATATAATAATGTTATATGAATTTATCATCGCGCTTTGTCCTTCGCATTTTTTTTTTTATGACACAGATATTATCCCAACGACTAACTAAATATTCGAGTGTCGTTTGACCTGCCATATAAACATTATCATGTTATGCCTGCACATATGTATACGCAAACAATATATTATGTTATACAATTCGCGCAATCTAAATTTTTTAACGCTCTAGTTTCGCAGTGATTTTTGAACACGCACGCGGTTTATGCGAGTGCAAATATCATAAAACAATATTATCGTATACCTTATATACACAGTGATAAATGTGAGGCTATATGATATATACGTGTCACCGAGTTCATTGATCGAATATCGCATTTATCACACCTATAAGTACACACGCACTACTCGAGTTCTAATGCCCATAAAGTGGCGTAGTGTTAAGTGTGCGGCCGAACAAACTCCTGGTAAAATAGGAAATGTTAAGGTACACACAGTCACACAGAATAATATATTAATTTAAATATAATATCATATACATGGGTGGAGAGGTGCTCGCGTCATTATTTTAATAATATGTACTAATAACTTTTTATATCCTACTGCTGCCGAATTGGATTGAAAACATTTATTGTGTCGTGGTGTGGTGGTCATCGGAATAACAATATAACTCATAACGAGATAAATATGAACAGCTACCCCCTTCCCCAGTTTTTTGCTAAAGAACTCGAACACATCATGTTGTTGACTCCGCTGTTAAACTATATCATATGTATACTGGTGCGATCGGGTGGGGAAGCTGTGAAAAGGTTACCTATATATATATTAGTATTATTATAACGCGCACCGTTATGTACTTTTACTTGTATATGTAGGTATACACACAAAAATATGTATATATATATATATATATAATCATAATAATAATAATATTGTGTACCGCCACCACCAGCTCTCTTCTCCCCTCCTCGAGTACATATTATTATTATAATATACCGCAACCACGGTCGCGCTGCATCTTCTGTGCGTCATATAACGGGCCCCGTCGACTTGCAGGTATACATAATATATATGTATATATAAGGCAGTCAGTCAGGTAGATTATATTATTTATATATATATAGGTACGTGTGCGTGCAGTTTTTTGCACCCGCGCCCGGTGGGAGTCATTCCTCCCGCGGCCGCGTTGTTTTCTAGACGTTATTATAACAGAGCTGAGTCGCGTAATATAATAATAATAATAATAATATATATTTTTACCGTGGTGGTGGTGGCGGCAGCGACGAGTTTAACGCACCGCAATTGGGTCATCGTCGCCGCCGCCGCCGACCGGCAGAACCGTCGTGCAAGCCAACCGGAGTAGTGTGGCGCGTATATTACAATATTGTAGACGCGCCTGCAGTCGCGAGCTGATAGCCTTAGTGTGTGTGTGTTCGAGTGTGTGCGAAAAAGCGACGAAAATTTTTTTCTTCTCTTTACGATAATAAATATATATGAATTACATACTTGATAATATACGATATCAAACGCGAAAACTGTGAAAAAAAATTGTGTGCTCATATATAATATAATAATATAGTAGTAGTGAAAAAAAAATCGTTCATCATATCGGTTTTACTCTATTATTGGTTAATGATAATATAACATACTCGCACGTCGTAATTAATAATATATATAATATTATACGTCGAAGAAATGCCTCCAATTTGTACGGAAAAAACGTCGTCTGCGTGCTGGCGTTGCGCCGGCGATTCCGGCGCCGAGTCCAGCGCGGCGGACACGGACGATTCCGACTGTAGCACGACCAGTTCGTCCAATAACTATACTTCAACCACCGATCGGTTACAGGGCTTTTTCCGCCGGAGCATTCAGCAGAAGATCCAGTACCGACCATGCACCAAAAACCAACAGTGCAACATCTTGCGGATCAACAGGAACAGGTGTCAATACTGCCGGCTCCGCAAGTGCATCAGCGTCGGCATGAGTCGAGACGGTGAGCATAGTTTTTTGTATATTATAATAATAACAATAACAATAGTTTAAATATTAGTTTAGTACCATTTTAATTATTATTACTTACCTATTACATATTATATTATATTAATATAATTTAATAAATTGCCATACACATACGAAAACCCGTCTGCCCGACTATATATATATATATATATATATATACACATACAACGATATACCTAACCTAAGCCCTAACCTTCGGCTATTTAAATACACTCATAAACACTGTGTCTAGCTGCAAGAATATAATATGTGTGGCACCTTTATATATTTTTCCATGACCTATACCTACCAGCGACCGAGTTGCGATTAATTCGTCAAACGCGATTTTTAACCGTCACCTCGACCGTCTCCGTAGTTCCTCACATTACCTACTATTAATTAAATCATATTGTTTATTTGTTTATTTTTTTGTTGTCGTTATATTTGGCAGACAATAATTGAATAATTTCAATATATTTAATGTATTATATTCACACATATTTTTTTGCTTCTTATTTTTCAACAATTTCGGCACACTCGACGATGTCATATTATTATATCGGTTGTACAGAATATCGTCATATATATTATGTATTTATGCTTTGTACATGCATAGTACATACACAAATACATAAATACATGCATGCATGTGTATATATATGACTGTCCTATCAACCAATGTGTATAGCACAATATAATATATGTGTGTGTAATCGGTCAATGACGTAACGCCGCCGCCGCTGCTGAGTGGTTTATTATGCGCATACACAAAGAACAGTCGCAATGACCTGTTTTTTAGCAGTTCGTTCAACTCTCGATGTCGATGGCCGCCCCGATTACTCTCCCGCCAGCAACTGCACAACAACCGCCGCTGCCGCCGATACCGTTCCCTCGGCCGCCTCCTCTATTAGATAACAATATTTTTTGCAAAACAATACCGGACAATTCTAAAATGTTATGTCGATACAAATTTTAACTCGGTTTTTGATTGAAAAATATCCGAACTTCCGATTATGAGAAATATTATATATAATATGTTATTGGGATTTTATCGACAGAATAAAAAGATTGATTTTGTTTGGAATTGACGTTTGAACTTTTTCTTTCGGTGAGTGAAAAAAAAAATACCAAAAAAGTGGGGCTTATTCGCAAACAAAAATAATAATAATAATAGTAATAAAAATAATAATAATATTGTCACGGTCGTTTCGCGACAAATGGTGGCGACCTCTAGCGGCCTGACGGCGTGATTGTGGTTGCAGCGGCCGGCCCGCCAGATGGCGGTGCCGATGTGCCCGACCGTCGACAAACAAAAATTTGCGATCCACGATAGGTACAAGCATCTTAGGATTTGCGGAGGCGTATTGTTCGAAAAATACGACAAAAAAAGGCCACACGACAGACGACCGATTACAAGTACAGCACTCGTAACGATTTATAACATACAGACTGTAACCAATGTTATTATAAATTACAATATCAATACTATTATTCTGAGTTACCGACCTTGTGAACGCGCCTACAACAAGTGCACTCCGCGCGCTATCGGTCGACCTCGGAGCAATAATGTATATAGAGATAAACTCGTCGTTTTTTTTGTTTTGCGCGCGCGTTTGAGACGGCTTTTGTGCTCGACCAGCTGCATTAATAATAATAATCATACAATATCGTCGACCGATCGACACAGAAAATACACTACCCGAAAACGTTCTTGTTGGACTCAGCATTTTGTGGCCGCCACCGCACGGTGTGTAATAATTATAACTATAATCATTTATACTTATTATAATATCGTTATTAATAATAATACATTAATGTATCGTTGTGCGCAAAACGACCGCTACCCAAATGCGTCTCTTTGGAGATTCGTCAAAAGGTGCTCGACGACGGGGTTCCTGGGGTGGAGGAGTGTCTTTGAGCGTGTCGCGCGATTCGCTGCCGCACGCGCCGTGCCCAAGTTCAAGGGTACGCGATCGACCGAAGCGTACTTCACTGGGCGGCGGCGTCGTCGTCGTCGTCGTTTGTTGAGTGAGTGGGTGGGGGGCGCCGTGCCATCTCGTACCCGCCGCCGCCGACCCTACTCTTCTCGACGTGTACCATTGCCGCCGCCGCCGAGTCCCCACCAACGGGCGCCGCCGAATCGAACGCAGTGGCGGACGTTGGCGTGTGGCCGTGAAACGGGCTCATTGTGATCGTGAACCGCGTACGCTCGTCCGGTCTCGTCCGGGAAATGTCGTTCGTCGTACGAAACTTGGTCGCATCGCGTACCGGCAGTGTTGCTACCGCGTGATATTGGTACTGTGCGATATTTTTTCGAATTTCGTTGCCGATCGCTGTTTTAGGTTTCTCTTACGATAATGACAATAATTTATTACCGTCGTCTTCAAACTCGGGATAATTGCGATTTTTCGTAGTGCCATTTTTGTTTGTTCGCTGTTCGAGAAAAAAAATAACAAATCGTGTGTTGGTGTTTTTTTTTTGTCAGTTTATTAATATCGTCGTTGATATAATTATTTTTTAAAACTATACCAAAATGAGTAAAAAATCCATCCTTAAGGATATACTCTGCAACGGAGTCGTACGTTACTCCAACGCCCGTACGTATTTATTTATTTGGATTTTTAGTATATTTTCGCTTGAAGTAAACAAATTTTGCGGTATTAAATCGTAAAGATGCGCACGCTGTGTGTATTTGTTTTTTTGGGGCCACCGCGCGCTTTCGTCGTCCTCGTCACGAGCGCACACGCCGCAGAACCGCGCGTCGGCGGTTCCCTCTCCGCGCGCAGCGTTATAGTTGCGCGGGCGCGCGCGCGTTCGTGCGTGTTGTCGTACGCTTACTTTCTAGTCGACCTCGGTAAAAGTGAAATTGTGTACCAATTTCTCTCTCATTCGCGCCCCCACGAACGACGACGACTACGACGACCCAAATCACATCTCGGGAGAGCCGCGTGAAAAAAAGATAATAGAAAAAACCGACACGAATGAATATCAATAATATTATTTCATACCATTATTATTGTTTGACTTTCACCGTCGCGATTTTTCTCCTCTTCTTGGCTTTCGTCAACGCTCGCCCACAGTCCCACGCACACGTATAATATACATCACGCGTTTCGACGGTGGTCTGGATCGATTCGCTCGGTTCGTTTCAAGGGCATTACGAGTCAAGGGCAAATATCTACCCCCGCGGGTGTTATGTCTGAAAAATATGTGCGCGCGCTCCAGTGTGTGTGTTTGTGAGTGTGGGTGGTAGCCGCCGCCTCGAAAGGGACAGTGCGCAGGATATTTGCCCGGCACCTGCTGCTACCGCTACCGCCGCCGTCACCGCCGCCGCCGCTGCCACCGTTGTTCGTTTCGTGTGTGCTGCGCTGACGGCGTCCGTAGCTGAGAGCAGTCGCAGTGTAACATCCGCGCGCGTTCACGACGGTCGCATCATCATGTTGGCCAAATGCGATTCCACGACAAAACGTACGAACGACTGACCTGGTTTTTTTTTTCTTCCCTTCGCACCCTCACACTCACTACTTATGTTCACTTATTTACTGATATCCAATATATTTTACTACATTTATTACATACTGACTATAAAACTATTTTTGTGCGTTCGGTTTTGTTAAATAATTTTTTTTCTAAACGGACCGTATTTTTATCTTTTACAGCTGTACGATTCGGCCGTGTGCCTAAACGGGAAAAGGCTCGTATAATGGCCGCCATGCAGCACAGCAGTAACTCCAAAAGCCAGGAGAAGGCCGCCGTGGCGGAGCTTGAAGACGACCAGAGACTCGTCGCCAGCGTAGTCAGGGCACATCTGGAGACTTGCGATTTCACGTCGGACAAGGTCGCGCCCACGTTGGCCCGTGCCCGCGAACAGCCAAATTACACCTTGTGCCATCCGACACTGGTGAGTTTAACACTCAATCTTTATTATAATAGTTTTCGCGCGTTAAAATGTATTATAGTGCAGCAACGTTATTCAAATCAGATTTGACGTGTACCTACTTATTTTGTTACGTTATTCGTGCGTATACCTATAATCATATCGTTCAGGAAGAACCTTGACGACGTGTTTTGTGCGTTAATCAACAAGGTCTGCTGGTATGCAAATGTTTGTGTACACAGCTCGGTGTTTACAAAACTATACATTTTATAACATTATATATTCTCGTGCACAGTGCATACGTGCAAACGTATATTGCATCGTTCGCGGTGCTTGGTTTTGGATCCATTTCATTTGGTTAAAATTGTTTTGAGTTTATTTATTTATTTTTTGAAATGTTGTTCTTAGCTGTTTTCACGCAGCTGCCGCCCCGGGTAATAAGGCACAACGTAGTAGTACCAATTTCTCCGCGACACGTCCTTGGCCTTGTTGCCACCGAATTTCCTAAACGACTTTATAATAATTATTATTTTATTACCTGCCGCGACGCGGGTGACGTACGCCTCTCACACTCCTCTCTCCGCCCCTCCACTTAAACGTTTTTCCGTATACGCTGGCCGCGGCGACCGGTGGCGATCGTCGTGGTTCAAACGCCGTTGTGTTCCGCTCGAGCGCGATGGTGCAACCCGTTTGAAAACCCGATACATCTCTCTTATTATTATTTTTATCGTCATCTTGTCCATATGTATTGTCATTTTTAATAACGTTGTTGGCCTTGATGCGTCGCCGCCACTATCAAGGCCGCGATAAATATAATAATAATTAATCGTCGCACCTTAACTCATCCAATACCGTTTTTTGTCTCTTCCATGTGCAGGCTTGCCCGTTGAACCCGAGTCCACGACCCGTCACCGGACAACAAGAACTATTGAACGACTTTTCGAAGCGATTCTCGCCGGCTATACGCGGCGTGGTCGAGTTCGCCAAGCGCATACCCGGTTTCGGGTTACTCGCCCAAGACGACCAGGTGACCTTGCTCAAAGCCGGTGTTTTCGAGGTGCTGCTTGTTCGCTTGGCCTGCATGTTCGACTCTGAGGTAAGTGTCTTATATAGTAATTGTGTACCAACGCGTATCAATACTTATATACCTATATACACATATAATGCATATTTGCGTGTCACGGTTTTTTCGGCGTGTATTGACCTCGATTTTTCCTCTTTTTGTTTCGCGCAGTGTAACAGCATGGTAACGCTCAACGGTCAAGTGTTGCGCAGAGAATCAGTTTGCGCATACTCCAACGCTAGATTCCTCACCGATTCCATGTTCGAGTTTGCCGAGAGGTTGAACGCAATGCGACTGAACGATTCGGAAATTGGTCTATTCAACGCCGTCATCGTGATCGCTGCCGGTTAGTTTCAGTTTAAGATATTATTAATTATTATTCATATTAGTTTATTATTTATTCACGAAAATAACAAATCGTAAAAATACTTTAATGTGTTACAAACATTTTAATTTTTAAGGAGAGCAAAGTTTTAAAACGTTTGGTATTATTTTTGTTTTCACAAAAACAGATCGCCCAGGTTTACGCAATGTCGAATTCATCGAGCGCATGCACAAACAGTTGAAATGCGCGTTGCAGTCGGTGCTCATGCAAAACCATCCCGACCGTCCTAGCTTGTGCCAAGAACTGTTGAAGAAAATCCCGGACTTGAGGACGCTCAACACGTTGCACTCCGAGAAACTGCTGGCGTTCAAGATGACTGAACAGCAAAACCAACTAGACCAACAGCAACAACATCAACAGCAACAGCACCAGGACACTACCACCACAACCAGCATCGCATCTGCTGCCACCCAACATCATCAAAACATCGGTGGCATGTGGAGCCTGATGATGAACGGCACCGACGATTTCAACCGCAAGAGCCCGGAGGAGGCAGGCTCGTCGTCGTGGTCGGATGAGACCACTTCCGTGGAAGACATGAAGAGCCTGGCTATGTTGGACGAAGTCAAGAGCCCGCTGGGATCGGTGTCCAGCACCGAATCTGTGTGCTCAGACGAATACCATCATGGACCAAGCAAACACGCGGCGAGTGCTCCCCTGTTGGCGGCTTCGCTGGCTGGGGCCGTGTGCCCGATCAGACGGCATGCAGCCGCGCCTTCGGACGAACTACACCACCAGGTGATCGTCCGGCCGATGTCTTGCCGCCGATACCAGCGGAAGCAGGACTCGCCAACTGACTCTGGCATCGAGTCGGGCACGGAGAAGCTGGACAGGCCAATGCCACACAGCGCGCCCACTTCAGTGTGCTCCAGCCCGCGGTCCACCGTCGAGGACGTCGTCATGTCGGCCGACTCACACCATCCGGCTGCCATTGAGGACATGCCGGTGCTGAAGCGCGTGCTCCAAGCGCCGCCGTTGTACGACACCAACTCACTGATGGACGAGGCGTACAAACCGCACAAAAAGTTCCGCGCCCTGCGTAGCGCCAAAGACTCGGCCGAAGCTGAGGCTGTCCGACCATCAGTGGCGACTACCGTCCACAACAACAGCACCCTCCTCAACCACCTCCAACAAAGCCACCACCACAATTCGCCGCAATTGCACCATCACCTCACGTCGTCGTCTTTGTCGAGCACTCATTCGACGCTGGCCAAGTCACTGCGCGAGACCCCAAAGATGACCGCGGAACAGATCAAACGCACCGAAGACATTCACAACTTTATAATGCGCGAGGACACGGCGTGCAGTGGTTACCAACAACAACACCACCATCACCACCACCATAACAACAACAACCACCTACACCAACAACAACCTCCGACCAGGTGGCAACATACGCCTGTCATTACTTCTGCCTTGGCCCAGAACAGTTGCAGATTGTCGCCGACGCCGCCCACCAGCAGGTATGCGTCGTCGACGGTGAGCAGTGGTGGCGTTTTGGCGCGCGTCCTATCGCCGTCGTCTTCGTCGTGTGCGTCTCCGCCGCCGTCGGCGCTGTCGATGGTCATGCGCCGCACGCCTTCACCCAACGTTGTCAACCTCCAGGTGGGCATTACCAACGCAGCCGCAGCCGCAGCCGAGGCGGCGGCCGCTCACCAGCAGCCGCTCAACCTGTCCAAAAAGCTGTCCCCGTCGCCGACGTCTGCCGTCGGCAGTGGTACCCCCACGCCACCATCTCCTGCTCCCGCTCAGGTGGCAATGGAAGCGTAAGCCACCCTCACCCCGCCCACCACACTCCCCGTTGCCGTACGTAACCGCATCGACTCGATCTCACGAGAGTCAATCTCTAGACCAAAACACGAAAAAAATCAACAATTGGAAACAAATGGGGTTTCTATACGCAAACCAAAACAGGTGCGGTGATCGTTTTCCTATTTTAATAATTTTTTTTTGTTTTAATTTTAATTATTTTTTTTGTGGCAATACATAAAACTGTGTACATATTACTATAAAATATTAGGCCTTACGAGTTTAAGTTTAATTATATAATATAATATCAATATATTTATAAATATATATCTCACGCTCTTATTTTTCTCTCTCTCTCTATATATATATATAATATATAAAAACTATCTTTATTCTATTTAATAATTATTATACAAAAGTTTTCTGCGTAACTATTTTTTTTTGGATTTACGAGAGAAATATTAAAACAAAAATGTACAAATTTAAAAATTGACCGATTTTTTTTCCGACGACGATGCCCCGCGTGATATATATATCAAATTATAAAATATTTATGTTTATGTAGAAGTATAATTATATATAATACATTTATTGTGAAAACATTTCTTTTTTCTTTTTCTTTTTAAATGTGATATACATTTTAAGGATCGCATTTGGTTTTATTCTGTATATATTATACATTTTACCGTGTAAGTTACAAAATAATTTGATTTTTTGCCCATCGTAGTTATAGCTATGATATTCATCCTGGTATATAGTTATTAACGGTTCAAACCGATTTGACGTTTTCCTTTTTGAACATTACCTATATAATATACATATGTGTATATGTGTAAACACTACATTTATATATTATGTTTGATAATTATATATATAATGGTTAAAATAGTGACCTCTTTTTTTCTTTCTTTTTTTTGTAAATACGATTTAAAATTTACGAAGCAAAAACACAGTATATATATATATATATCATAATATATACATTTTGAATGTTTTCGAAATAAATTTTTGAGACTGAGGGAAGTGTCAAGCCATTTTTATTTTATTTTATGACGCCTCGCGCGGTTTGGTTTTTTCGTTTCTGGGCATGTAGCAAAAAAAAATATTTCTACAGCAATCCCTATAATATATACTATATATATCATATTTGTGTTTTTATTTGCGATATAAAAAATCGAGTTGGCCAGTACAAATTTTCAGACTCACAATATTGTTTTTTATTTAATTATTTTTTTTTGTACATAAGCCAAAATTAAATTCCCTTCTCCCCACACGCAAACACCTCTACCAACACCACCACCAATATTTCCATACGACGAGTGTACCAATATACACGCGTCTTGCCGTAGCAGAATCGTAATAATCATATTATTGTTCCCACTGCTGCAGCCGAAGTGAGACACTATATATTATAATATACATTTTTGCACAGAAAAAAATTAGGCCGAATGTTAATTTTGAAGGACGATGATGATGGCTATATGGTAACGATACATAATATGAACGTGTGTGTAGTGTGCTTGAGTGTGTGTGTTTGATACCACAAATGAAACATACGTTCGTCGTACACACGTCAACTAGTGAAATACACGATTTTCGCATGTTCGGACATCGATGCCGCCGTTCATCTCGATAATATACTATCTACTGCGAGAGAAATGAATAAAATATAATGTAATATTAAAAAAAAAAAATAGGTCCAGTATAATATATTTGAATGTCATACCTGAGTAATATGTGTGTGTGGTGTGTGTTGTGCGCGTGCTTGTAAATATGCATATAATATTATGTATAACTACCTATACTATATTATAGACGATAATTTTTGTGTTTTCCCCACTTTTTTTCCTCATCGATTCCGGTAGGCATATCGTAATTAACTACTATAAACAGTTTTTTTCACGTGCATTGCAACCCCCTATACATAAAATATAACATTATAATATATACATGCAAATGTATATAAATATTTATAATCGTACAATCAAAAACTATATACGAAAAAACCAACATCAATATTAATATTGATATTGATATATTACATATTAAATTAGTATTCTGTTATATACATACTATATATAATTATATATTATTATTATTATTATTAATTATTATATTATCATCATGTTTTGAAAATGTGAAGAAAACAATTATCGTGTTAAAAGAAATGTACCAATGTTTATTTTTTAAGTTTAAAATATTTTTTTCTCGTGTGCTTATGACTGTTAGCATTGTGTAATATTTTTTTTGTTTTTCCTTTTTAAGCTTGGGATTATTAATTGTATTTTTTTGTTTTTATCCTTTTCCAAGGTCTTTGCGTGTATATGTATAATATATATGTGTGTATGATTTTATCATTATATATGTATGTGAGAATCGAAAAAAAGAGAAAAAAAATAATAAACACTGTCTGATTATTGTAATGAAAATAAAATTACTGTCGTTTTTATTTAAAAAAATTATATGTGATTTATATGATAACACGCGGTCCGTACAACAATAATTTATCCACCATTATACACTTCCCCTTGTCCGGCGATCAGTCCTGTGTCCTTTATTCCGCGTATATATATATATATACGTTGAAGCGTTTAGGTAACGCCGTTGTAGATCGTTATGTGCCGATGACGTACAAGTGTAGTAGCAGTGACCCACGGCGGCAGTCGAGACGAACGCTCTGTATGTATGAATCGACGACAGGACGATTTGATCCTGCGGCTGCGAGCAGGATACGGTTTTCAATGCCATAGCGCAGACGCCGCCGCCGCCGTCTGATGACCTACTTGTCCGTTGCGCTATAAAAACTAGCTCACTTTCCCGTGCGCTGAGAAACGCTGTACGGCGGCCGTGCTATGACATCGGCATCTGCTGTAATTATCATTATTTTTGATATTTATCGTGACGCGCACTTGCGCCAGACGAAAGCGTCGGCTGTTTTGATACCATAATAAATTATGCATTTTTCACGCGAATTACGACCGGCTGACGACGACGGTTAATAATAAAACGGGGGAGACAATAATACGGGTTCACCGTTGACGTTATGATATTATTGTCTGGCAGGACGTGTGGCAGACGACAAAAGTGGTGACTCGACTGCTAGCACAGTCGAGCTCAATACACTGGTGGTCGTACACTCGAGTTAGATGTCTGCTATAAACAGACAACAGTTGTATATTATTTACATACACCGATTAACCGTATAAATATTACCTAACAGATGTACCTGATGTGTATTATAATAGTAGCATTGATTATAAATATTAGTATCAATGATAGTATAAACTGTAAAGTATTGGTTGTAGAAACGGCAGAATGGTCGCCGTGCGGTTAGGAGAGGCGCGTGGTCGACGGCATTGACCTTGAGACGAGATTACAACAATACAACTGTCGATAACACACACGCATTTATGATTTATCAATAGTACAAATTATTATTATATTTATACACAACGATGATGTGATGTGTGCACTGTGCAGTGTGCTACGGCGACCGCGCAGTATAGACCGTAAACGCTTGATAAGATAAATACCACCTCCGTCACTCCACGAGAAAAGTGAACGTTTTGAACTCGTTTGCGATAATACCCATATTATATACGATGATATATGGCTTGAGCGCGATTATATAAATGAAAACCGTTTGCCATTTGAGCGAGGTCGAAGTAGCGACTAGCGGCTTTACTACCAGATTATTATTAATTGTTATTAATTATCATTATATTGTATTATATTAATAACACCATGCGATACGCTTATGGTAGGTGGGTACGCGGTAGGGGTGGGTCCGGGATTAGAAATTATTGTGCGAGTGATATGGTGTCAGTGGTCAGTGACAAGCACAGGGTGGCCCACCGCGATCAATCATTCACGATTTGCCAGTGGTCGGTGTTAAATGTAAAAATGGGAAAACGTGGCGAAGGTGCCACCTTGTATACAATAATACGTTTGTTGATAAACGCGACGAAAGCTTAGAACTATAATATAACTATATTTATCACAATCATGTTTATCAGTTCAACGGAAGAAAGTTATTGTACTGCGGTAGTTCGAAATAGACGATCTACTGCAGAGTCAGATTACGGTAGTGCTCGACGGATGAGCACCATGATAACTTGTAAATACTTGTACAGCCGATCGTTTCCGGCTATGTTGTTAAATTGTATTAAATATCGTTATTATAATTCAGTGTAGTCGTTATGTACAATGTGATCGTTCAGATTTGCAGATTATAACTAGCTAGGCAGGCTAAGCACCCTCAAACAATTCCATAGACCTTCCAGATGAAAAGTAATGAATCTCATAACTTCGTGTTTGGTGCCTATGAATGTATAAGTAATTTATTATATAAGTAATATAGATGCCCATATAACAACTATTTTTTATAAATGATTGGCATATTTTTTTTATGTAGCTATAGGGGCTCGGGAAGTTTTTTGACAAACGATATATTATTGTAACTGTATGCGTAAACCTACCTAAGCACATAAACTATGGGATGAAAGAGATAAGCAGCCATCTTCACTAGGCTCAGAATTCGGGATTATGCATGTGATAACTGATAATATTGCCAGTGGTCAGTCCCTTGTAGGTACAGAGTAGCCCACCCTGATTTACTGTTCACCAGTGGTCAGCGCTATTTAAACGCAAAAACTACAAAACGCGGAGGGGGTGGCACCCTGTACACGATAGTACGTATATTGGCAAACACGAAGAAAGAGTGGAACTGTATTATAATAGTAATAATTATTAATATTATTATATTAATTTATTGTTCAATGGGAGAAAGTTCTGTAAGGAGCCAATTCGAAATGAACGATCAACTGTAGAGTTAGACTACGATGGCGACTCGACGAATGAGCTGTAACTTGTAGATACTTGAACAGCTGATCTTTTACGGTTATTTTATTGTGTTGTTTATACATGGTCATATTATTCAGTGTCGTTGTATTATAATATAATATTATTTACTGCTGCAGGTGCTCACTCAATAGTACATTAGCAGAGGCAACAGACGTGCGTATGGACTATATATAATATAATATATTCTAGATGCTTTATATACTTCAAGGATCTAGGAGACGTTTCTCCCCGTGCCTCCCACCCCTGATCCCCTGGACGCCCCCACCCCCAAACTGAACAATTTCACCCAGACAAAAAATTTAAAGTAAAAATATTAAACATTTATATACACAAAGCAAATCAATGAAAATCAATATAATTATGTACAATAATAGTTAATTT